GCGGGTCTGTTGCCCCGGGGCGGGTGTGCAGTGGCGTCACCTGTCTTGGGGGGAGGGGGTCTCGGCACCCGCGTGCCCCCACGAAAACGGCCTCACAACCAAGATGACACTGCTGCCCCCAGACGTTTCCTGGTGCTGTTGTGTCATCCAGATCTCCGTTTTGTTTGGCTTTTTTTTTTCTTCTTGGATAGCTGTTTATCCTTCGAGGGGTTTTCTGTCATATTTTTAATTTTTAGGGTGAAACGTTGATCTTGAAATTGCTTGTAGAAATATCGTCAATACTTGAATAATCAAGAGAAACCCAAGGTTTACAAAATAGGGGTTGGAGGATGGGGTGGGCATGCTTTTTTAAGTATTTAGTATTTATTTAAGCCAGCTTGCCTTACAACTCTTGTAAGTTGACCCTTGAACAACCTGGGTTTGAACTGCATAGGTCCACTTATCCGTTTAAGTACTACACAGTCCTGGGTTGGTTAAGTCCAAGAACGCAGGCCCTTAGGCCTGGGGTTGACTTCCAGTGTCCTCCCAGTTTGGTATCAGGGCAGGTCCTGGAACCAGCCCTCCTTGGACTGGTACTTCTTTGAGGTTGCTGGCTTTCTACCTGAGTTCCTTCTTCTTAAAGGAAGATGAAACGCATTTTCCATCCCAGTGTGTCCGCACACTGCTGCCCTTTCTCAGGGAAAGTCTGGCTTCATGGGAAGTCTGAACTTGTCTCAGGTTGTAGAGAAATAAAACTCAAAATTAGACTTGTGTCAGGATCAGAAGTTTAGCACAAACTATTATTTAACTGGGAAGCCTGACCTCACTTTTATGTGTTTTTTTCCTTTTAGAAAGATCAACAGAAATTGGCAAACTTCTGAGTTCTTACTTGGAAAAGAAAAGTGAGGTGGAGGATCACTCAGTGCACCTGCTTTTCTCTGCGAACCGCTGGGAACAAGTGTAAAAACATTGCCCTTCTGCCACCCTTCCCCCTGCTTTGCCACCTCTTGAGTCAGTGATCACAGCTCTGGTTTCTGACGGGTGTTGACAGTCATGTTGGAGGCTGCATCTTGACAAGGCTTTTATATTCACTGATCCCGGTGAGGGCTAACTAACGCTGCTCCCCCACCTTCTGTAATTCATAGACTTAATTTTTAGGTAGCTTTAGATACACAGCAAAGGTGATCAAAAAGTTCAGAGGGTTTACCCTCACCCGGTCCCATCTCCCTTCCCTAGAGTTACTCTTGTCTTCGATGAACCAGTGTTGACATGTTGTTAAGTGAAGTTGGCAATTTGGGTTGGGGTTTGCTTCCATCCCCTTTTCCTCTGACATCATCTTGGAAGGTTCCCGCTTGTCCCAGCATCAGTACTTATTGAGTGCCCGTGGGTCATGCTCTCAGATGTTTCCATTTCCATTTCCACACACGTGTCATCGGAATTGTTTTAACATGAATAAACGGAGCCTGCCACGCGTATTTCTCACAGCTTGCTCCCTGCCTTGTGGTCGATGTCCCTCTTGTTTCTGCCCCCGCCGCGCACTCCCCCTCAGGCTGAGCCGGGTGCCTGTGGATGGGCATCCCGGTGGTTTTCCCTCGTTCCCTCACCAGCATGCTGACACTGCTCTCCTTCAGCTTAGCTTGGTGTCTTGTCTCAAAAGCCTCCCCCTCGCCAAGTATTAGATGAAGATGAGACTGTATCTTTAATATTCTGGACTCTGTTGACATATTTGTTCTGATATTTGCTTTTTGTGGATTTGTAGAAGTGTTCTAAGCCCAATTTAAAATGGAAAACAGTGCTGACTCTCCAAAATCCTGGTCTTGTCCTGGTTTTGTAGGCCCGCGTATCTCTGGTCTGCCTGTTTTGCCACAGCTTCCCCTTCAGATCATCACAGCCAGAGCCGGCAGTCGTTTTTCTGAGACTGGAACATCCTTAGGTGACAGCTTTGATGCCAGGTCCCTGTCTGGCACCACTGCCACTCGCTGTGTGACCTGGTCTCAGCCTCAGCCGTGGCTCCCTCTGCAGGTGCCCCTCATGGGTGCGGTGCAAGGGGCAGGCGGGAGCAGAGGCTCAGTTAACTTAGCTCCTTTGAATTCGCCAGGTACTTGAAGCCCTTTGTGAGGGAACTCTGGTTCCTTCTGCAGCCTTTGGACTTCCTGCCCTTTATTGTGCTTCACCTTCACTGGGTCAGTTGCTGGTCAGCGGTCGCCTTCCGGCTTCTGTGCAGTTCCCGCACAGACCTGGTCGCCCCCTCCAGTTCCCTCCCCATCTCTCCCTGCCAAAACCTCCTGACCCTCCAGGGCCACGTGGGAGTGAATACAGGATCCCAGAAATGAGAGGTTTCTCTCACTTCCCATAGCAGCTTAGCAATTTTCTTCTCTACCTATTTTTGAACTTTTTAGTGTAAAATGGTTTCAGTCAACCAGAAAAGCTACAGGACCGGCACTGAGATGCCCAGCTGCGCCCATTAGAAACACAGCCGCGTTCTCTCTGCTGTTTGCTCACTCTGTTTATTTCTCAGAATGCTGGGTTCATCTGACCTCACAAGTAAATTTGGGTTTGTATTTTTGTCAGAAGCAACACAGGCAGGACACTGGGTCCTGAGGGCATTGTGCCAGGAGGGATATGCGGCCGTCAAGCTGCGCAGCCGGTTTCCCTTGTTCACCTGCGAGGGGCTGCCGGCCGGGCTTCTCCACTGTGACTCTTTGCTGTAAACGGGGAGACATTGTAAAACTGCACAGACGTCCTTCCTTATCAGACTTCGCTCTCCTAGTTAGCATTCATTAACATGCCTGCCTGAGTCAGTTACTGTGAGTTTCTGATTCTGTCATTCCGTCCACAGTTGGCGGTTGGCGTTCTACGTGAGAAGAGCTTTCCTGCCTCCGCCAGCCATCCGCCCAGCTGTCCAGCAGTCACCAGTATGGACTCTGTCCAGAGCGACTCCTGTCCTTTGTTTGGATGTTCAGATTGTTCCAACTTTGGCCTGTGGGAGTCCCTTCTTAGTGGCTTCTGTGACCACTGACATGGTCCCGCTTCTCGTGCTTTCTCTGCGTTAGCTGGGAGCCCGCTGCCCCCTCTTCGTGCATGAGGACGTTAGAAGCCGACCTCTGGGTGGGCGCAGGCTGCTCGCTGCTGGAGTATCCCAGTATCTAGGCTTCTGTACACGTTTGTCTTCCCTGCGTCTGTCTGTCCATCTGACACCTGCTGCTCCGGCCCTGCAGGGTCTTCTTCCTGACCGCATCGCCAGCACATCTGCTCGGTCCTGTACCCTGCCTGGCAGGAGGGCGCTTTAGGGCCGCCACCCCAACCTCCGCGAAGCCCATGTTGGGTCAGGGCTGGCTGCTGCTCTGTTGTTAGAACAAGGCACGTAGACTGCTGCGTCCAGACATCTCAGCACGTTTTGTTCCACTTTAACTGTGGTTCATTTGGACACAGGCTCATTTGACTTTGGATACAATTTTAGGGATTTTCCCCCTCATCTTGCTGATTTTAGTTTTTGAATACAGAAAGTACAAAATGGCCCTAAAAGTCAAAACCACACCAGAAGGTCACTGCCCTGCCTTCCCCCGGGCTATCAGTGCACTTGTTTGTAGAGTTCTCCTGAATTTCTTCTTTAAGCATTACCTTGTCCTTATACAGAGAGGCCCCCAGAGTCCTCGTTGTGCTTGGATGTATTGACAGCATATCCCGAGATCCTTCATATCTGCCTGGGCGGTTCTCGGTCTCTCCTGCTCGTGCCACATCTGTTCTTCCAACTTGCTGTGGGATTGGGTAGCTTCTTAAATAACGTGCGTTTAGGAACAGTGCTGTGATGAACATTGCATCTTGTTGGTGGAGGTGTCCCTGCTCCAGAATGTTCTCTGAGCTCAGCCTCACAGCATCAGACATCTTGTTCCCCAAGTGCCAGCAGTGCCTTGTGCTGATGTCAGGCTGTCTGTCCTCACACGTCTTCCTGAGCTCTTGGGGCTGGAGGTGTAGGACCTGCCATCACCTGGTCGACAGCATCCTGGGCGTCCACTCCATCCTCGTCCTGCTCCGGGCTGGGCCACAAGTGTCTCTCCACCGCCTCCAGCCACCTCCACCTAGCTTCTGCTCCCCAGCAGGCCGGCCTGGCCCCGCCATGCCCCACCCGCACAGCTCAGCGGCCTCTGAGCACGGCCTGTGTCAGTTGGGTTTTTGCCCTTCGGTGGACTTACGTTTTCATGCTGGGCTTTGCTGGGAGTGCGCGCCTGTGGGGCATCTTCTGAGGAAAAGACCTGGAGCTTTATTTTTTTTTTTTAATTAAAATTAGGTTACGGCTAGCTGCCGTGAGACCCCCCTCACCGTGTGGGTTTCTGAATCGCTGCCTGTGTTGTCAGGATGATGTAGGGTGAGCTCAGGGCCTGTGCAGCCACAATGGCTCATAGCACCCCACCTCCCTCTCTGTTTCAGGCCGTTGATTAAGGAGAAGCTGGGCCAGGGCGTCACCTTGGTCGTGGACAGATATGCATTTTCTGGTGTCGCCTTCACCAGCGCCAAAGAGGTGAGAGCCGCCAGCCCCAGCTTGTGGTCAGGGCCCAGTCCCTCCTGCCACTGCCTCTTGAGTTTTCTGGTCGCCATACTCCCAGGCTAATCTCATCTTTCTCAAAGAGAAACCATTTGTAGCTACAGATTGTTCTCACCATCCAACTGTGTTTTCCACTTCATGTTGTACGTTCACGCGGGTGGTCCATCGGCAGACCTTTCCCTCCACTGCCCTGTTCTCAGAAAAGGCGCTGAGAGGGTCTGGGGCGCCTTCGTGCTGTTTTCCTGACTCCCTGTCCCAGGAAGCTGCCCCAGGTGCAACAGCCGTGACCACACTGCCTTTTATTCCTGCTTTTATTTAAAGATTTTCTAACGTATACCAGCAGAGGAGATAAGCCACCCAGCATTGTCGCCCGCCACAGAACCTTCTGGTCCCTGACCCACCAGCCACATGACCAGTTCCCTCGAATGCTTCAGTGCACATCTGCAAAGCAACTTCAGAAACCTGGTCTCACCTCAGATGAATTTAGACAGTTCAGTCATTCTGTGGTGCCGTGACTCAGCCAGCTTTCAGATTTCCCAGTTCTCTCAGAAGCTTGTGTTTTTACAGTCAGATGGACTCAGAATCCAACCGCTTAAGGACCATACTTGAAGCATCGCCTAACTTAATTTCTGGGTTCCCAGGTTTTTCCTTTGGTTAAGGTTTTTGAAGTTTTTATTTTTGCAGGGCTCCTGCAGGTGGCACTGGACGTCCGGTATCTTGTGTTATGATAGCCTCTGGTTGCGGTGAGTTCACGAGGGCTGTGAACTGACCACCTCTCGTTCTTTGGGTCTCTTCCTGAGCCGGCAGCTCGTGCCAGGAGGCACCGGCCACACGGTTCCATCCGAGAGATGACTGGACAGGTGGCCGCGCTTTGCAGGCCTGAGGGCACATCCCCCGCGTGCATTGTCCCGAGCCTGCAGCTGGATTCTGACCCTGAATCTTCAGCGCTGTGTGGCCTTGGGTCGTATCCTCCCTGGCTTTGTCTGTCCCCCCAGACAGAGGCGCTGTTTTCGAGTCGCTAGGTTGAAGAGGAAGAATGTGGGGGTGTCCCCAGTGTGCTGGTGGGGTGCTGCGTTGACCTCCCTCTGCAAAGACGGCCACCCAGGGGTCCCAAGGGTCTCTGCTGCATGGACTCTTCTGCCTAGCGGAGGGTGTGGGGCCTGTCCCTGTGACCTCGGACCCTGGCCCTGAGGTGAATCACCACCGTGGTGCGTTCTGTCCAGGGGTTTGAATTGAGGTGCAGCAAACACACAGCATTGCAATAGACAGGCGGTGTAGCTCGTTGAGCCACGTGTGGCAGAGGTGGCATGGTGCGTTCCTGGCTATAAGACGCTGGTCCCTGTGTGGGACGGTGTACCCTTGTAGCTCATTTCATACCTGAGTGTGTACTCCCCTTCCTACACTGTTCCCCCCCCGCCCTGGGTAACCCGTTTGTTCTCTGTACCTGTGAGTCTGGTTCTGTTTTGTTAGACTTGTTCCTTCGTTTTTTTGAGATTCCACAGATGAGCGAGATCACATAGCAGTTGTCTGACTTAGTGCCCTGGGCGTGGTGCCCTCCGAGCACCCTCAGCTGTGGCAGGTGGTTCTTCCCTGGCTGAGAGCTGTTCCTCGTGTAAATACACCGCCCCTTCTCTGCCCCTCTCCGGAGTGGCCTGTGGGGCACCCAGCAGCACTGTCTCCTGACCTGTCCACAGTCAAGTCGGGAGAGGTGGCCAAGGGAAAGCCAGGGTCTGAGTGCTGAAAGCAGAACCCTCCGTTCAAGCGCTCACTCGCTTTTCCCCTTTTGGTGAGAGTTTTGAAACTGAATATTAGACCCTATCAAGCGTTCTTCATCTAACAGTCGGGTTCTTTGTCGCCAGAACTTCTCCCTGGATTGGTGCAAGCAGCCCGACGTAGGCCTTCCCAAACCGGACCTGGTCGTGTTCCTCCAGCTGCGCCTGGCGGAGGCGGCCGCGCGCGGCGAGTTTGGCCGGGAGCGCTACGAGGACCGCGCCTTCCAGGAGCAGGTGCTGCGGCGCTTCCACCAGCTCCGGAGCGACACCTCCCTGAACTGGAAGGTGAGCGGCCAGGGCGCCCCTGCAGCAAACTCGTCTTCTGTGGGTGTGCTGCCCTGCTGGTGAGCTGGGAAGGGGCTGACAGAGGCGGCAGCGGGTGGACAGCCCCCTCTGCCCCGCTGTGTCCACCCATCTGCCGTGCACTGTTCTCACCCCAACACAAAATGCCCGGTTACTCCCCCGTCCGTCCATCGTCCCCAGAGCCTCCTCCAGCTCGGGTCTGCCCGTGGGTGATCTGGTCGGCCGGGGGTCCACACCCCACTTTCAGCCCACGGAAGGATCACTGCTCTCCCTGCCCCCCACCACAGCTCCTGCCCATCCCGTGGCCGCACGCTGTCCCCTTGTGCTGTCCTCATGCCCGTGCCCATCCCATCTCGGGGCCTCTCACCCAGAGCCCGGCCCTCGTGCATGCCCGCTCCTTCTGAGCGCACCCTCGTGGCCTGGCCCACCTTCGTCCTGGCAGGTCAGCACTTGGTGCCTGACGGCCGCTTCTCCTACCTCCGCCGCACCCGCTGCTGGCCACCAGCCTGGTCCTCGCTGCGCAGCCCGTGGTCCAGCGTCTCAGCTCTGGTGTCTCCTCCAGCTTGTGCTTCCCCCTCCACCTGCATCTGTGCGCCCTGCCCGCCCCGTCTCTGCTGTGCAGTGCAGCTCTGTTGCCGCGGCCAAGCTCTCTGTGAGAAGGGGCCATGCGCAGCCCCAAGCACATCCTGGACCTCCCGGTCTCCCCCATGTGCTCAGGTCAGCGCTGAGCCCGCACATCTGGGGCAGAGACTGTGCCGCATCTGAATTCCAGAGGTCTCAGTGTTTTCCTTCCTAATTCATTCTGCATGGTTCGCGGCATTCTTGATGTATGATACGTTTCCACGTCCGCGAGGAACAAGACCAGAGCGTATGGAATCGGGAACAAGAGGAAGGGAGGGAAAGCCACCCCCGCCTGCGATCAGCACGGCCTCCTCGGTCCAGTTCCAAGCTCATCTCCCTCGGCCTTGAGGATGCCCTTGAATGTTTCTTGTGGTGCAGGCGCCTGGCCTAGAATCCTCTGCTTTTGTTTATCTGGAAATTTGTTTAGTATTTTTCAAAACCTTCTGTTTTATTTATTTATTTTTCAGTTCAGTGGAGGCCCTGGGGGTGGAACCCAGGACCTCGTGTGTGCTGAGCTGTGCTCTCCCTCCCAGTACTTGTCAGATTTTAAAAGCAACAACACATTTACAGAAAGTTGTCAGGACAGTACAAAAGACTCACCCAGGACCCTGGAGAAAAAGCCAGTACCTGACAGCCCTTCAGTGTCACAGCCGGGCTGTTAACACAGACGTGCTCCTGCTGTCTGGCCGGTTCCCCGTGTCCCTTGTCCTAGCCTGTGCTCTCATGGCCGTGACGTTCCTGAGGGGCCCAGCAGTTGCTCTGCAGCTGAGCCTCGCTGACTCTGTCTCCTGGTGAAGGGACACTGGGCCCTCACTGCTCTGTTGCGGGTGCACAGTCTGTCCCGCCCTGGCGGTGTCCCCTGGCCGCTTGGTTAAGCAATTCCGTGGTGAAGTCAGTCCGGTTACTCTGAGGAAGGGTTTTGAAACCACATAGAAACTCATTGCTCGTAGACCTTCAGTTTCTTTGTAAGCTTCCATCTGTACAGACTTGTGTTTGTACGTTTCAGTCCCTGGCGCTCTCACTTTATTTGAGGCCTATGTTGCCCCAGCCTGGCCCCCGGGGGGCCTCCCAGCGGCTCCGTGTCCTCCGGGAGACCCCTTCACTTAGGGCCCCTCCTGGTCCCAGCATGGTAAGACCCCCTGGGCTCACCCTGTGCTTTCTGGGGCATCGCTGGTTCCTTTTGTGGAGGAAGAGACCGAAGTCCTCACAGAGCCCCCAGGGCTAGAGACGTCCGGGTGGGGTTTCTCAGGAGCCACGTGTCTGGCACGAGCTGCCAGGACGGTGCTGCTAGGTGACCTTCAGGAAAGTGGCCCTGTTCGGGTCTCAGGGACCTGTGGGGTTGCTGCCACTCCCAGTGGACCTTGTGCAGTGGACAGTCTCTTCTGAGTGCATCTGCACCCCAGGGGCTTCTGCAGAGCTGGCTGTCCCAGAGGCTCTTGGCCCCATGGGCTGAGCGCTTGGTGTGACCACCACACTTCTGCGCACCGTCTTCCTCCCTTCACTGGAGAGCAGTTTCTCGCGGGCAGGTGGGCTCTCTGGTGACTGAAGATCCTTGTGCTTCTCGTGGGAGGACTCAGTGTCTCAAGGGCAAGCAGGGTGGGAGCGGCCCTGCGCCAGGACGAGGCCCATCTTCTCGGGGAAGAGGGGCTTCTGCAGAACCTGGTGGAGCCCAGTCATTGAGGGGCAGGTGCGTGGCCTGGGGGGGCACTGCCCTCTCCGCCTCCTGGACGTGACCTGCCCTCTGCTTGGGGTAGGGGGACGGGAGCTGCAGCCCCGGGGGTGAGGGAGCTGAGCAAGGGTGCGGTCGAGGCCGAGGATCAGAGAACAGTGTGGGTGAAGGAGCCTGCCTGTGCGCTGAGAACCAAAAAGCACTAACCAGACTCTCTCCTGCACCCTCCCCCCGACAGATGGTGGACGCCTCCAGAAGCATCGAAGAGGTCCACCAGGAAATCTGCACGCTATCCAAGGACACCATCCAGGCCGCCGCACAGAGGCCGCTGGGGGAGCTGTGGAAATAGAGGGAGTGTCCCCCCCGTCGGCCTTCAAGGCAGGAGCAATGTGCAGAGCGCAGGGGCTGTGTGCAGGGCGCGGGGGCTGCACACAAGCCCATGGCAGGCAGAGCAGGACTCCACAGGGGTGGGCCGTGCACTCAGCCTTCCTCCGCCCTCTCCTAGACCCTGAAGATGCCAATAAAATATTTTTCTTACTGAAGTTCAGTGACACCTGTATGCAAGCAGACCCGTCGAGCTCGCTGGGACGGGACTCAGCCGAGGTGCTCGTAAGGTCTCAGACACACTAATAAAGACTGAATGAAGACACGTTATGAGTAGCCTTGGGCTGGGGTGCTGGGGAGTCCTCCCAGGTGAGGCCCCCACGCTGGCCCCCTCAGGACTTCCTTCCTGCCCTCGTCTCCGGCCACCGGGGGTATGGCCAGTCTCAGCCACGCCTGCTGCTGAGCACCTGCCTGGTGCACAGGCCTCGCGGGGCCCCGGCCGGCCCCTGTCCACATGACATGACAGCATGTCTTCTCTGAACCGTTATGATCTGAGGAGCATAACTTCTTTCCATCCTGTTTTCAGCTCCTCTAGGGTAGTGTTCACGCTGCCCAGGAGACCCCAAAAGAGAAGGCAGGGACCCTGTCTGCAGGGCCTGTGGGTGCCCTTCCTTCTGTGGCCAGGAGACTGGATTCCGAGCAGAAGCAGAGGATGTGACATTTGTGCCAACATGGGGTTTTCGGAGTCTAACAGGGCTTGGGGAAGCCTGTGTGTGGCGAAGAGAGTCGCAGCAGGGTGCTGGCACCCAGGACTCTGGCTTCCCCACACCTGTCACGTCCACAGGTGCCCGGCAGGTAGGGCAGACCAGGCCTTGGTGGGGGAGGACAGGTAGTGAGCAGCAAGGAGGCTGCTGGCTGTGCCCCTGGACAAGGTTGAGGGCTCAGCTCCAGGTGTGGCCCTGTGTGGTCTGTGCCCTGGGGACGGGGGTAGGGGAGTCTGAGGAGCTCACTGCAGCCCTGCTGATGGTAACAGATTGGCCTCAGGCATCTGTCCACCTGAAGGGCCTGGCTCCGTCCACCCAGACCGTGCACCACACGCTCAAGTCAGAACCCAAGAACCTGTGATTGAAAAAGTGATCAGAAACCGCTCACAGGGTTAGACCACTTTCATCCAGGGGTCCCAGAGTCACCCAGGGGGAGGGCCGCGTGGCCCTATCAACCTGCCTGTTGCTCTTTCACGGCCAAGGCTGTGTGCTGCACCCAGCAAATGGGACAGGGCAGGTTCTCGAGAAGACCGGGAACTCAGAGCTTGTTGGCCCAGAGGACGCGTCAGTCTCACCAAAGGTGGCCAGGCTGGTGCTCGGCCAAGTTGGGGCTCTCAGAGGGGCTGTGCCGTGGGCCCAGGTCAGGATGCAGGGGCAGTGGGGGCCACAGCACAGACCACCCTCTCGGGGCTGGGCTGTCAGGCCCAAGGCGGGCAGTTGGAGTAGGGTGGAGACAGGAACAGTCCCAGAGACCTCGAGTCAACAGGTGGCTTGAGCTTTCTTCAGTGAACCCTGTCCATTTTACAACTACCCACCAGGGCTGTGGTGGCAGCAGTGGCCGAGGTGACTACCTTGACCCACCTGCTTCTAGTCTCCCCCTGAAGAAGCAGAACGGCCCCAGAGATGCCCACACCCTGATCCCCAGAACCCCAGGGCGCCCACCTGGCAAAAGGGACCAGGAGGAGGGAGACCACTGTTTGTCTGGAAAGGTGCCAGGTGTCAGGAGGGTCTGTCCCAGGAGGCAGGAGGGGCCTGGGCAGAGATGTGAGGCTGGCTCTGCAGGCGGAGGGCCGAGGGCGCTTCCAGGAGCTGGGGCCTCCGGGGTCCTGAGAGGGTATGTCTGTTGTCCAGAGGACTGGGGTTCTGGGAGAGTCTGGTCTTGGCCCCCTCGCACCAGAAGGGAGGGCAGGCAGGGTCACTCTGTCCCGGCAGGACTCCGCAGGCCGGGTGAGCAGCCCGTGCTCACACCCGAGGGACCCGAGTGCCTGCAGGGTCACTGCTTCTCCGAAGCCCACTGCGGCCGCTCCCCTGCCCTTCTTGCTGAAGAGAGGGAGCTACTGTGTGTCTGCCTAGAATCAAGTTTCTCTGTATTTTTTGCTTTAAAGGCAAACCACAGGAGGTGAGAACAAGAGTCGCAGCTCAGAGCCTCAGAGCCAGGCCCAGCAGGAAGGCCCCCTCTCGCCCGGGCATGGGGAGTGGGGAGCAACCGAGCTCACATGTCCGGCCACCAAAGCCTCACTGAGCCTCTTCACGAGCTGAGAAAACACCGTCCTCATTCTCACCAGGTCCAACTACAACTCAGGAAAAACGAAGACACAGACGGACAGTGAACTTGTTTTCTATTGAAACTGTTATTTGCCATTAAGAGTCGCAAACTACACAACTAAGGACGAACAACTCTCTTCAGGAAGCTTTTCCCAACACACACGAGACAGGCTCCCCTCCGGTCAGGCTGTCACCTATGGCCACCGTCTGTGCCCCCAGCAGATGCTGCGGCAGGACCCCGGCCCAACAGCGCCGAAGGAATGCACACCGTCTGAGCGCCCTCCTTTGCCCCGAATCTGCAGGAAGTGGACAGAGGAAGGAGGGAGGGACGAGGGGAAGACAAGGGAGCCAGAGGAAATAACTTAAGTCGGTAACATGTGGGGGCAGCAGGAGCCCAAACACAGGGTGGGTGGGGGCGGGGCTCTGAAGGAAGGCGCTCTGGGGGGAGGCCGCCACCTCCCCAGGCCCCCTCTGTGCCTCCTGGTGGGACGAGCCCCACCCTTCGTGGGGGCGGCATCTCTGGGCACAGGACAGCAGGGCTACAGGTGGCGGTGTGGATGTCCATGGGGGCCGAGGAGGACCTGGGAGCGTCTCCACTAGAGGTGACTCGCCCCCTAGAAACGAGGGCTTTACCCTCTGGCCCCAAACCATCAGAAACCTGGCTGACCTGACCAAGGGCGGCTGGGAGGACCAGGAGATGGGGGAAGGCTCTGGGTGGCGACGAGCCCCACACCCCCTCCTCCCACCCAGGGGACGCTGGTGCGACAAGCAAGCAGCAGACGTGGGCGTCTCATTGGCCAACACCTGCAAAGGAGGCAGGAGGACGGCAGCCCTCTGGGCCTCACCTGCGTCAGTCCCGGCCACATCTCTGGACTGGCCCGCACCCCCAACCCGTGCTTTCTCCCAAAGCGAGGAGACGCCCGCTGCAGTCCTTTCACCCCATCCCCACCGAGGCAGCCCCGACAGGTCAGAGGCCAGCGCTTCTCATGTGTCTTCTGCACTGGTCTGGGACACGCCCCACACAAACGCGTGTCTGTTGTAACTTCACACAGGACCTTGATTCCAGAGCAAACTGAGGCTCGCAGCCCAGAAGGAAGCAGGACGAGGCTGCGCTGATGCAGGGCTGGCAGTGTCGCGGGCACAAGGGCTGACACGGCGCTGCTCCCAGAAGCTCCGGCCCGGTGCCAGCAGGTGGCCTCTCGTTCGTGCCGTGCGCTCCGTGAGGTCAGGCCTCCGGGCAGCGCAGTCCCCCGAGTCCATAGGCAGCTCGGGGCTCTGGCACTGGGCGCGGCGGGCGGGTGGGTGGGCTGGATGGATGAAATGCGCCCAGAGGTGGGGCTGGGCTCTCGAAGGGGCCCCAGCAGGGCCAGTGAGACCGTCCCCCAAAAGCAGGGTTTTCAAAGGGACAAGATTTCAAAGTCTTCATCTTCTGAGTCAAAGAATCTTTCCAATCGCTCTACATCAGAAGAATCTAAAGAAACAAGACAAAACCCCACCGGGCATGTGGCGTGGGTCACTCCAGGCATGGGGCTGAGGGCTGAGCGTCCACTGCACCCTGCACCTGTCCTGTGAAGGAGTCGTCCTGCCCTGTGCCCGACGGTCAGGGCGGCCCCGGTGCAGAGGGAGGCTGAGGTGACAGGACTGCCCAGCCGAGGCATCGTCCTCCCAGTGCCCGGTCTGAGCCAGCCAGGAGGGATCCAGCCCCGTGATCACCAGGACCAGGGCCTCGGTGGGAGAGGGCACCAGAGTGCAGGGAAGAAGAGCGCTGGGGCCCCGTCCTGGGAGGGGTGCCCACCCGTGCACCGTCTGGGGCTGGTGGAGCATCTGTCCCGAGCCCAGTGCTGGGCCCCCAACCGCCCTGTGGTTCCCATCAGGCAGCGGCTGTGACCGTCCCCCCCGGTGACCTTCACAGAAGGGATGAGACGCCTCCAGGGATCACAGCACGGCCTGGACGTACTCAGGGGCCCACTGCTGAGTCCCCGCTTTCCAGGTGCCACGTGCTCAATTCACTTAAGGGGAGTCGGTCCCTGGGCCAGAGCACTGAGCAGTAGGGAGAGCCCACCTGCAGCCCGTCTGTCCGACCCGGGTGGCTCCCGGGCCGCATTGTCACAGAAGCCTAGTGTGCCCTGGCTCTCAGAGAACCCAGGGACTGTGTGAGGAGCATGTGGGGCCGGGGACACGCTCAGGTGAGAGGAGGCGACATTCAGCAGTGACCCAGACCCACACACCAGTGACCACCAAGGGACCACAACTGCGTACAACTGTTAAAGGTCAAAGGCAACTGGGACAGGACCTGGGGGAAGGTGAGGGGCAGACAGGAGCACTGCACAGACCACACCCCAGTACTGAGATGGGGACACCCCGCCCCAGGGCTCCGGACTCACCTAAGGACAGGTTCAGGACGTCAGGGCAGGCCAGGTGGGAAGGCTGCTGCTCCACCAGCTCAAACATGGGCAGGGCGCCTCCGAGCAGGGACAGCTGTGGGCAAGACGACCGTCAGGGGGCCCGTCCTGCAGGGCAGCCCCACTGAGCTCAGAGGGTTCACGCTGCGCTCAGGCCGGACCCCCTGACCCGTGGAGGATGGCACCTGTCAGCCTGACACGCAGCCTCCGGGGGAAACCCCCTTCCCACCTGCTCCCCATGCAGCCCAGGGAGCAGGGAGTGCAGTCCGTTCTGCAGACGCCCTGATCACAGCAAGGGTGGCACCAGGAGCAATGACCTCGCGAGGCACACGGCACACTGTGCAGACAAGTGCCAGCAAGGGTGAGCGGGGAGGCAGGACTCCAAACCAGAGGCCCCAAGACTGGCCTTCAGCCCCTGCCCCAGTCCAGGGGACGGGGAACCACCACCAACCTTTTTGACTTGCTGGCACCAGTCATTAAAGTCGTCCTCAGTCTTGCAGAAAAACCCCTACAAGGAAAACCCGGGGTCAGCGGAGGGCGGCCCACGTGCACACTGCTGGGGGATGGGGGCAGGGGAAGTGGCTCGAAGAGGCAGGGGCTCCATTCCCAGCATCCCCACAGGACCCCGTGTGCATGCCGGGCAGGGCCGCACCACACGCTGGCCTCCTTGCCTCTCCAGCTGCCACACCTCTCTCTGCAGGCTATGCCCACAGCTCCACCCCTGCCCGCAGCCTTGACCGACCCAGGCAGGCAGCCGCGCGGTCTCAAGGCCCAGGAGCCAGGCAGGGAATGACTGTGCGCCAGGGCAGGGCAGAGACCCTCCCCTCCCTGTGCCCCGGGGGCTGGGCCGTGGGTCAGCCTCAGCCTTGACCCACTGTCAGCAGAAGCGGGCCTCCTACTGAGGGGCGACATGGGGACACCGAGGATGTGGGGACACCATCCCCTAAATCTGCTGTTGGCAGAGCTCCAGTGTTATGACGAGTGACCGGGGACGCTCAACCCATCAGAACCATATGTCAACCTGCAGAGGGACACTGGGCCCAGGAGAGGAGAGGGGCTCAGCCCCTGCAGCAGGCTCACACCATTCAAGGCTTGGGCAAGGACCCGCGGGACGCGGCTGGAAGGCAGAGGCCTGTTTCTCCTGAGAAGCCAGTCTTCGGTGCGCCTGCTCTCGGGCACATGTCCACTGCCTCGTCCAGGTGGCTGGCTCTCTCATCGGACCTGACTCTCAAGAGCATCAACTCCTGGAAGCTACCAAGGCCGCGACGTGGACCCACCTGCCGCAGTCAGAGGGGCAGCCCCACACACCACACCGCCTGCCCCCAGGGCCTCCAGCCTCAGGGTGAGACCCACCGGCGGTGAGTGTGGGGGACGTCCCATCCTAGGACCACATGCCCATCGAGGCCATTACTCAGTTCACCACCCTGAGGACTCAGGGTTCTCAGGTGTTTCTGGCCTCCTTTCCCATCAGATGCATTCTGGAACCAGGCAGGTTTACATGAATTACAACCCAGAATCCCAGCCTCGTAACCAAGAGAATGAAGCAGCTCGTTCTTACGGGCCATCTTGTAGATACATTAGATCGAAAAAGTAAAAACCACCCCAGACCCCCGCCAGAGGAGCTGAGAGCGGCGAGAGCGAGGGGGGGCGGGGGGCGCACTCACTCTCGCCCACGCGAGGCTGCCCGGGACGCACCCGAGGCGGGCAGGCAGGCACCAGTGCCCTTTCTGTGCCTGGTGAATTCTAAAACACACGAACTAACACTTATGCCAAGATGTGGAAAAACAATTATAAAAACACAAAGGCTTTTCTTTTCATCCTAAAGCAGCAGCAGGACTGGGTACAAAACGCCTCCGAACACCCGTGCACATGCCCAAGGCAGGTGCTGGCAGGCTGCCACGGGGACGCACCACGGCGATGGACGGGTCTAGCTCTGAGATGTTCATCCTGCTGGGCGGGTGCTGGCAGTGGAAGCTCTCGTCTGGGATCAGGCAGCTGTCAGTGACCTGCACGGCGGGCTGTGTGGTGTGCGGGTCCAGGTAGATGAGCTCCTCGCCTGTGTGGGGCGGACAGGCAGGTCAGCAGGAGGCTAGGCGCTGGAGGGGGTGGGGGTGGGGGTGGGGGCTGCCCTGAAGCCCCTCCCTCCCTCTCCCCTGGCTGCAGCCCCGCCACTCACCGACGTAGCCAATGAAGTAGTGGGCGCTGTTGGGCTTCCCTCCGATCACGCCCAGGGACTGCGGCATCATGAAGCAGTGCTGCGGGAGGGGACAGGGCGGGGCTGGGCGAGTGCGTCAGCAGGCCCCTCCCCAGGGAGGCTCCAGCATGGACAAGCGCACTGCGCAACGGGTGCCAGGCGGAGAATGTGGAGACGGGTCCTGAGGAGCCCAGGCAGGAGGGAGGACCAGACACAGAAGCCACAGGCCCTCCAGGAAAGCCGTGCAGGAGGAAAGGGAAGAGGGGCTGCGAGGGGAGGTGCAGATGGGTCAGCCCAGCCCGCACACAGGGGACAGGCGTCGGGAGGTGGCCTGCACGTGCTGCAGCAGAAACAGACAGGAGGCCAGCGAGACCGCCACGTCCGCAGGAAGAGCAGAGGCCATGAGAGGTGGCAGCAGGAAAGAACAAGCTGATGGGAGCACAGGGGTCAATGCGAGGGGTGGCCGGGCCTGCCCAGGGCAAGGCCAGGAGTCCACAGGGCGGACAGAGGGCTGGTCAGGGCCAGACAGTGACAGCTGGGGGTTTCCAGTGAGACGAGGTATCCCGGTCCCCCGATGGGCAGAGACCCACCTTCAGCGTCTCCGTGTAGGCTGAGTTGATGTCCGTGAGCCCCAGGCGCAGCGGGATGAGCAGCACTAGGGGTCTCCACGGCGACGGAGCGGTTCTGCTGCTGACCTCCGCCCCAGCGGGGAAACCGTTACAGTGTCGCTCAGAATCCGCAGGGAATGCGGCAGCCCCAGCACAAGGAAGGCTGCTGCTGCACAACTTTCCTGAAAAACGGGGACTTTTGTAGGCTTAACAGAAGCTGGCAGGAGTTCACCCAAAAGAAACAGGGACATGGTCACGCTGTAACAGAAAGTGGGCACAAAAGCACCAACTGCTTAGAGCGCAATCCAAGCTCAGAAAACGAAGTGTGAGGATAAACCTGCCTCCACAGACGAAAAAGCAGCAAACGTTTTCTATGAGCGCTCAATTTTAAACTCCCATTGTGAAATAGCTCACACAAACTAAACAGTGCAAAAAACACTGACGTGCACCTTAGAAGCAACGATAAACAAGCACCGTGGAGTCACCAGCCTGGCCGGACGCAGCAGGGCAGCAGGGCCCCAGGACTCCTATGGTCCCCCTCCGCCAGGAGACCATCGAGGAGTACCTCTCCTGCCTCCTCTACCGTTTCGGTAACTTCTTCTGTCTAAATACCTGGGTAACCCTTCAATAAACAGGTCAACTCTGATGTCCGGGGCAGGAGACACTGCAGCAGCCCCAGGCACCCCAGGCACCAAGTCCATGGTTTCTCAACACCTTCCCCACTAGGAGGAACCAGGGCTCCCCAGGGAGTGGACGGTTATCAGGGCTGGGCAGGCGAGTATCTAGTTAGTGCCAGGAAGGCGTATGCCAGAGAGCCGGCTGGATGTGCGTCAGCGAGTAAGGACCCTAAGGGGTAACAGCCTGAGTCAACAGAGCCCATGAGCACTGACTCTGAGGAGGACACAGCCACCGGGCTGCCGGGCAAAACGTTTCACCTGAACCTAACCGTGAGCAAAGAAGCAATCGAGTATGAGGCCTGGCTTTTTAAAAATGACAATGCTATGAAAAACCAGGACAAAAAAACTAAGAGGGAGAACTTTCCAGATTAAAGGAGACCAAAGAGGGCGACAACACACGGCGCTGGCCCCCCATCACAGGAGGTGGCAGGACGGCTCTGACCCTGTCTTTCCAGGCTGACAGGCCATGCGGTTCAGAAGGAAGGCAGCGGTGGCGACGACGCAGTGCAGCCAAAACACCCAGCACCGTTGAGTCTGGGCAGGCAAGGCTTCGGGCTGTGACCGACCACAGGGCTGGCGCCTCTCCAGACAGACAGCTGGAAAGAGCAAGCACTGGAGGAGGAGGTACTTTACCTGTCTTCCTATGTCTGGGGGCTTAATCTTTCTGCGACGTTACGGTAAGAAATACACACAGAGCTCCTAAAGCCCACGGGACCCTCAAGTGCCACACAGAGTCTTTTGTCACCCAACAGGTAACTTCTGGAAAGCCCCTGAGGATGGGGCTGGGTGCAGGAGAACCCACCCCACGGCCCCACCTCCGGGATGGGGAGGAGCTGGGGGGCAGTGACCACCTGGATCACTGGTGCCTGTGTAACAAGGCCTCCAGAAAGCCCAGAGGACGGCGCCCCTCCCCACACCTCATCCTGTGCACCCCACCCACCCCCGCCCCACTTGTGTCCTTCAAAATAAAACTGTTTGAGTTCCCCGAGCCGCCCTGCCCTAGCGAGTTAATCCAACCAAAGAGAGGGTCATGGGAACCTTCCATCTACAGCCAGGCAATCAGAAGCACAGGTACAGCCTGGACTCAATGGGGGTCTTCAGTGGGGGTCGGGGGGAGCAGTCTCAGGGGACTGAGCCCTCAGCGCATGGGGTCTGAGGCATCTCCAGGAATGCAGACGGTGTCAGGACCAAGCTGAACTGTAGGACGCCCAGCTGCGCCACAGAACAGCTTGGGGTGGTCAGAATCGGTGTCCGGCTCTTACTGCCTCATCTCCACAGGTCTCCAGACCTTCTCCCCTTTAGGTGGTCATCTGGTGACCCGCGTATTGTTTCAAAGAGTCAGCTCAGGATGTATTTGTTCTACCATTTTTTTCCTTTTTCAAACCACTAATTTCTACATTTGTCAAGGCCGTTCTTCAGGTCCTTCCCTTAACTCTGTGGGTCTTTCCCTAACTTCCTGAACTAGGTATTTTGTTTGTTTTTACTGTGTATTATCTGGTCACCAGTATTAAAGGTACAGGTTTTCTCTTCACTTTGTTGCATCAGATTCTGATATGCAGTCTGTAAATGACTTTTTTTGACTCAAAAGCTAAGCCAGAAGTTTGAAACTTCAAGGTATCAGGGTTTTGTCCTTTTTTTCTACTTATCCTGCATTAGTTTATGGAAACGTCCCCTGGGCACTTTTTAAAAGGTGCGTCCTGCCCCCAGATCTAAGGCCTGACGTGCGCCATTACGCCCTCTGACTTGGCCACGTGGGTCCTCTGTGACACCAGTTTTTAGTATGTTGGACCTGCCACACATCCTCTATTTACTGTAGGTTTTGCTTCACTGGTTTTGAGGCTCTTTTGTGGCGGTGACATTTCCCTTGCTGACTAGACAGTCACTGCGAGCACAGCCCCCTGCTGTCTCTGGGGCACAAGCGGGCGCGAGCCTGGTGCGGCCTGTCACACGACACACGCCCCGCTAATAAGAGGCGGGTCTTCAGCTGCACCAGGCCGCCACGTGTAGTTTTCTAGCCCCTTGACACTGCTAACGTGTCCAAATTCTCTGCTTTCCCATCAGCGTCAACAATTAAACAAGGTCTTTGCTTCCGGGCCTCAGGAACCCAGGTCTTCTCCAGAATTCGAAACATTTCCAGCAGCATCTGGTGTGGCGGGAAGAGGGGGCAGCCAGCACTGGTCTGAGCCACCCTCCTTCAAAGGCAGTGTGTTACTTGGATGCTTGTAAGAGCCTCTCTATTTCTGCAGTTTGGAAGAGCCAGCAGGAATGCGCACACTCGTGTGCATCATCCAGAATCCAGAGGCCTCCAGTTCTGAAGACTCGGCTCTCCCTCCAGCTCAGAGGCGTTCTCTGCGGCTCCTGCAGCACCCGCCGGTCCTGCCCCTGAAGCTCGAACCCACACAGCTGCCTGCTGGGCTCCACTTCTCACGGAGCTTCTGTTCTGCTACCAGATCTTTGCTCCCACGCCTCCTCCGATTACCACTGCGTTTCGTCACACATCAGTGTCCCTATGCTCACTGCCAGACTGGCTCCTTCAGCCCACAGTTCCTCCCCAGGCTCAAAGGCTCATAAGGGTCTAAATCTACCACACGAGACGCTGGCAGAGCCTCTCTGGACATCCTGGCTGGTGGAGGGACGGGAGGATCGGGACATCCAAGGAGCAAGGCCTCCCCTTGTCCACGCACTTTCTGCAAAATCTGAGGGACCTCCTCCAGCCAGCTCCTCCTGGGGGCTCGGTGAGATTTCTGACCAGCTGTCTCCTCCCCACTAGCCCACAAGCAGCTCCATGGGGCCTGGAAGCAAGAGCCCTGATCGGCCAGACACATGGCTCCACCGCTTGCCTCACCGCGTCCGAGAGCTCCCTCCAGGCTGCTGCATGCACACCTCCGAGTGTGGGCCAGGAAGGCGGCAGACATGCCTCTTCTGGGCCTCTTGAAGTCCAAAGCCAAGTACAGGCCCTTCAGAATTGCCTCCACTCAGCCCCACTTCACTAAACCACACACAAGGACGCCGGCACCATGTTCAGCCCCAGAGTCCTTGCTGGTCATGGTCTGACATGGTCCTGCCTAACCCTGGCGTCAGACATCCTCCACTTGTATCTGTGATGAGTACACACCACTTCTGAGTTGGGGGAAGGAGGGTGACCGGCCCAGGCCCCTCCACACACAAGCCCGGGGTTCGGGTCCTGTCACACTTCCAGCAGCGGCCCTGCGGCCTCCAGAAGGGACCGGGGCCAGCACCACACCCCTCTGGAGGGGCCAAGGTTCTGGAAAGCAGCTGTCCCTTGCCCCCTCCTGCCCACTGCTCTCTGGTCTGAAGCCAGGGTCCAACAAGTGACTAGACTAGACCCTGTGGCGGGTGGAAAAAGCAGGGCGAGAGGCTTCCCGACACCTAGGAGCGGTGTTAAGACGAGATGGAAGTGTCCGGCTCAACAGCTTCACCGACGAGACGAGACGTTTACAACACTAAGTACAGTTTCCACTGAAAGCACTGTAAGGCAACATGAGATATTTCTCAGTAGTAAAACCAAGTGTTTTTTTTCTTCTCCTTTGTACGTTTCCTAAGTTTTCAATGTTCTGCAAAAACTTCAAGAACTAGAACACAGGGGAGAGGCAGGAGGAAGCACACACTGCCCGGTGATGGCCGGAGGAGGTCAGCCCCAGGGGAGCAGAGTAAACACAGCGGGGGCCCATGCAGGGTGTCTCGGACATAAGGAGCTCCTGCTCCCTAGCTCCCCAGTTTTATGCTGACACTGCCCCCAACGGTCCCCGGAAGGAAGAAAAGGGAGGGCGCCCCATCCACTGAGGGGCAGCAACACCCCAGGAGCTGACGGGCACACCGTGGTGGTGCCCACGCCCCCTCACGTGCGCGAGGCCTGGCCACAACATCCTCGGCAGCCTCAAGCCCACACACTGAGTCCAGTCCCCAAGGGCTTCCTCAAGCAGCACTGGATTCGAGGCAACAGCCTGCAGGGGAACCTCAGGAAAACTGGGGTTGAGGCAGCTTTGAAAACTTCTCTGGGGAAAAGGTGCTGCTGAATAAAAACTTAATGAAATGTTAAAACAAAGAGTTTTGCCAGCTCAGCTGCAAGGCAGACCACAAAGCACAGACTCAAACTTGCTCCCTAGAGGCCACCTGCCACCCGGCCCTCCTGCTCCTCGGGGACCGCAGCGTCTGCCCGCCTGGACTCCTGCAGGCTTCTGTGGATTCTTCTGGTGAGAGGAACACAGGTCTGCTCCCCTTTCATGCTGCCCCGTGGCTCGAGGCGGCACGGCTACCAGGGTCCACACAGGGCCTGAGCCACAACACCCACACCCCACAGCCCAGCCCAGAACTCATTTGTGACAAAGACACAAAACCAACGTGGGGCACTAAGCAACCCAGCTCTGCCCCCAAGTCGCTGCCAGGCACCCCGAGGACCCACAGCCGCCGCGCCCCCGCCCTCCGGGAACTTACGGATGTCCTCCATCACCACCGTGTTGTCCATTGCTATGTGCACAGCCAGGGCGCTCCATGTGTCAAAGACAGCGAGCTTCCTACCAGAGAGGGGGACACGCCGGTGAGCTTGACCCGTTCGGAGACGTCGCCTCTGCAGCCATCCATGGGAAGGAAGGCCGGAGCCACAGATGAGAAGGAAGCTGAGGCCAGAGCCCGCTTCCCTTCACCCAGCCAGCACGCCCTCCATCATCCTCGATGGCACCTGCGCGGAGAAAGCCCGGCACGGGAGCCCTCCGGGGGCGCCACGTCCCCATCCAGGTGGCACATGGCAGGACCCTGCCAGGCTCACCACCTCGGAGGCAGCACCCACCCCCCCCCCGCTTTGAACCAGCAGCCAGTCTGGGTCCCCGCAGAGTCCGTGCTTTAATAGAGAGCACAGCTATAAATAATCGTGGGGTGGCTGTGGCCATGGAACCAAGTTCTGTAAGAGTGAGTTCCACAGCCAACGGCATAACGGGAGGGCCTCTGTCCAGGCACACGTGGGCAGTGTGTGTGGAGAGGAGGGCCTGGCACGGGCCCAGCTTTTGGCTTGAGCTCCTGGAGCTGAGGGACCATCACTGCGGGAGCAGCTGGCTGAGAGGGGCTGCGACCCTGGGAGATGGCGCTGACAGAGCATAGCCCTGACCAAGGGCCCGAGCTGAGCCCACAGTGCTGGCAGAGGGGCAGGAGGAGACAGCAACGGAGGCAGAGGTGGCCAGATGGCCACAGGAAGGACCGGAGAGCGGGCTGCGCCCTGAGGGCAGTGAGCACCGGCGGGGGGGCTGGTGGCGGACGGTGGAAGTCGGGGGCTGGAAATCAGCCTCCGGGCTTGATGACAGAACTGACCTGACCTCGACCAGGCTGCTTCGGGGCAGCAGTGAGAAGAGGGTGTCAGCGAGTCAGGGCTCTAAAGGGCAGTGGCGGGCGAGTCATCTTGGGGGCTGGCTCAGGAGACACACAGACAGTGGAGACCCCGCACCCAACAGGAGCAGTGAGGAGGGGGCAGGCTGGGGGCGGGGGGGCAGGGGCAGCTTGGGGTGGGAGCGGAAGGCAGATGCGGAGGGCAGACATGAGGAGGAGCCACACTGGAGGCAGAGGCTTCAAGGCAGTGGGGGAGGCTGCTCCCGCTCCCCAGACCCTCAGACGCGCCCGTAAAGGATGGGGCCCACAGAGCAAAGGTCTGGTCCAGGGGTGCCGTCTGGATACAAGTATTCATCTCGTTGGAAAACACTAACTCCGACCAAAGACCACGGGAGCCGTCGCCTCTGAGGACCCCCCTGAGGCCCTGCAAAGAGCAGGAGGCCCCTTATTTCCCTCAGCAGCAGAGACTCGGGAGAGTCTGCAGACCCGGGTGTGTCCACACCACCCCAAGGAAGGGCAAGGTGCGCTCAGCACGTACTTGAGGACCTGGGCGACGGTGTTGGGCCCGTACCACTGGCCGACAGACTTGCCCTCGCCGACTCCCATTTGCGCTGCAGGAGACAGAGGCAACGCATGACACATGCCCCTCGACACCCTCTCCGCTACCCCTGGAGGAGCCAGCCTGCAGCGTGCGGCACAGGGATCGCTTTGCAGGAAGCCTGCATCCGGCAAGAGCCCCGATGAAGCTTCCTCCAGAGGGGACAGATACCAGCTCCAGGCTCGCCCCCGGCGGACTCCGCTCTGGTCCTCACTAAGGAGCCGGAGGGAGGAAGTGGCTCCGGGCAGAGCACACAGCTCCACCACAGCTCCTGTCTATGGGCGGGAACACAAGGCCCAGGAGCGGGACTTAAGACAAAGGTGCATGCAGACTCACCGCCAGGGCCCAGAGGACCTACCTCCAAGGTCACAAGGTGGCCTTGGTAGAGCCACACCAAGCAGTCCTGCAGGCCACATGGTGGGCACGGTCCGGGGCCTGAGCTTTCCTGACCACCCAGGGCCACCACCTCACACCACAACACAGAGGAACTCCCCGGGGACCCAACGCCCACGGCCAGCCCAGCGGCCAGGACCCACCTATCTGGTGAATGGAGTAGTAGCTGTCCTTCCTGTCAACAAATGCATTAAGGACACTGAAGTAGCTGTCAGGCTGCCTCTTCCGCTGGGTCCACCTCCAATCTGTCCGAGACAGATGGGGAAATTCAGTTTCACCAAATTACAACAAAGAAGACTTCGTTGTTATAAGACATTCAAGACAGATGGTGTCCAAACCTTTTGTAAACCTTTCCAAATTTAAAATCCAAGTTCTCCAGAATTTCAAATAGACATATGTCAACCTATCAAAGCAAACCCATACAGAAAGCAAGAAAGGGTTTCGGTGACTTAAGGATAATTTCTAAAAAACAAACATTTTTCAGCATTTCTTTGGGGGGGGGTGAGATTGCATTTATCTATTTTTTTTAACAGCGGTGCTGGGGATTGAATCCAAGACCTTGTGCATGCTAAGCACAGCTCTACCATTGAGCTGTATCCCCCCTCAAAGGGTGACTCGCTTTACTGGACCCAACTCCACCGTCCTCTTGGCTTCCCCAGCACGTCGCCACCCCCGGCACTGACTCACCGCGGCCCAGGTGCCTGCACACCAGGGCTTGGGCGAAGATCATCTGTCCACACCGCAGCATGCAGCCCCAGCCTGCGTCCGAGGTGGGGCCGGTGCCCCCTGTCACGGACACAGAGAGGCACTCGCCGTCAGACAGCTGACAGAGGCCGAGGTCCCCGCAGGGAAGCTCACTGGCGTCAGCGCTACACTGCAGGCGTCACCTCCGCGCCAGGCGACATGCACTGTTTAGAACCTGCGCCTGCCAAGGCTGTGTTTGCTGGTAAGTGACATGTCCCAACAGCCCCCTCAAAACGGGCCAAACACGTGAACAAGTCACAGAGAGATGAGGACGTCTGGAAAGGCATGAAGATGCTCAGCCTCATGGTAACACAGAAGAGGCCGAGTCCAACAAGGAGCACCTTCTCCACACACCAGAAAGGTGACAACTGGCCACGGGGCAGGGGCCACATGCACTGGGGACAGAAGCACAGGCGGGGCACACTGGGAAGGACAGGCACAGAGCAGGGGCTCCTGGAAACCTGGACCCGCGGCAGCAGTACAGCGATGGCCCTGGCGGTGTCGGGCACATCAACACAGGAAGCCTCCTGATGCAACAGGCTGCCTCACCACCACCCCACACCCTTTCGTGCCCCCTTCTGCTCTCCATTCTAAAACGCTGGTCATGACACATGACCCTGGTTTTAGGCCCCAGTGACACACTGCAGCGTGGGGTCAGAAAACCCTTGCCCCGAGCAGAATCAGGGGCCCCGGGTTGGGCATGTTGCCCCACGAAGTCCTTAGCCAGCTTATCCAGCCAAGGCTGCCTGACGAGGAAAGCAAGGGACAAGTTTTTCTCTTAAACCCTGCGTATTTCATCACACATTGTAACAGACACTACTCACCAATGGCTGGGAAGTTCTTCCTGTATGTGAACCAAAGTCGTGACGCCACATCGGCCAAGATCTCATCCTTTTCTAGAGAGCATGGAAGAAAAGAAACACACATACACAGCTGTAAGTTTCTGGGGCACACATTACAGAAAGCACACAACAATCATCTCCACAAAATTCCTCCTGCAGACTGAGTGCTCAGAGCACAGCCGCTCCGACAGGCCCCATACCTGTGAAGATGCTGTATTTTCTACCCAGAATCCAAACAGGCTCTGAGGTCTCAGGGAAATCTTCAAACTCAGCAAATCGGAGAGTGTCGTAGGTCAGGGTAGCTATGGAAACCAAACACTTTGATCACACTTTTACAATTTCATAAAACAACATCAGAGATCATTTACCGCACATCTATACAAAGAGCCCGCACGGGAGCCTGCACCTCAGTGCCGCCACATCACCACCGAGACAGCAGCCCTTGGGACGAGGAAGCGGCCCTGCACCCCACTCCCCAGCCTTTCAGGCTCAAAGCCAGGGGTCAGTGTCTGGCAGACTGAGGAGTGAGAGACCACCTGGGGGCCAGGACTATGGTACAAAAAAGAGAAAAAAACAAAATCACCCGATTTAAGTCCTTGTTTAAGGTTTAAACCTAAAGGACAAAAACACAAGAGCCCACATCTTTATCTCCGTGCACGAAAGTGGCCACAAACCCCAAGGAAGGTAGAGCAGGCCCTTCTGGCATCCCAGGGTCACCAGATGCCACCGTGGGGTACATGCCCAGACACTGTGCTGAAGGCAGACGCTCTGGGGGGAGGACCATGGGGCTCCTGTCCACCCTGATGTCCCAGTTAGGAGTGGCCATCAGTGGGGGCAGGATGCTACCCTTGGGTGGGACACTGGCCTCCAGAAACAGAGACAAACCCTAGTGCAATGTCCCCTGCGGCCCTGGGGCCAAGAGGCCTGGCAGCCGAGGGCACAGCCAGCAGCTCCCCGACATCCTAAGGGAGGCACAGTGCGCTGTCCGCTTGCTGTGCCAGGTCCCAGTACCACCCTGCTCCATGCTGCTTCTACCCAGAAGCTGGCAACGCTGTGCCCCTCCTGCTCTGGACCCCAGCTGGGAAAACCCTCCCTCTGCACATGGACCCTGGAAGTGAGGGAGCAGGGTCGAGGCCGTGAGATGGGCCCCCGTGTGCTGTGGGCACCCATCTCTACAGCCGCCGCTCCAGCTTCCACGAGGCCCCTCACGTCCTCCCTGCAGTTTCACTCAACTCTTTGGAAAATCAAGGACATCATACAAGTGTCTCCCACCGCTGAGCTTATTTTTCAGCAAGAGCCCCATCTTCTGGTAAAATAACATGCTATTTACAAAAAGCCCCAAGGCTAGAAAATATAAAAAACCACCCGTAGCCTCAGGCCCAGAAGCGCCCATCTCCTGGAGGTCTCCCTGTGCAGATCCAGTGGGGCCGTCCCACACCCTGCTGCCCCACACCCGGCCTTCCCCTCCTCATTCCTCCGGACGGGACGGTCAGAGCGCCACCAACCATCTAAGGGGCTCAGTGCTCTGCTGCACAAACGCAGGCACCCTGTGAGGTGCTCCTGGTGTCCCCGGGGGCCCCTGCAAACCTTTCTGTGCCGCACACAAGCCCCGAGAAGTCTGGGCTCAGATCCCAGCTTGGGCCCCCATGGACTGGAGGTCCCCAGGCCTGCGCTGAAGCCCACCTAGAAAGCGGGAACACATAAGAGGACACCCTTGCAGCGCAGCCGGACCATGTCCCCGAAACCCTTCCCCGTAGCTACCGGCAAGGAGGTGGCAGACAGAAGAGCTCCAAGGTCAGCTGGTGCCACTCACATCAAGGAAGCAGAACTGCAGGCCCAGAGGGACACAGGCTACTACACCCTGCAAACAGATTCCCAGGCTCTGGGCCGGGAGGCAGCACTCACAGAGCTAGCAACTCCATGGCAACAGAAGGCCCTGTGTTCACTGCTTAAAGGATTCTTGAATTGTTGGGAATCCAGACCCAGCTCTGACTTTCTTCTCTTTGCCTGCAGTCCTGCAGGGTCAGAGGAGCCCAGTGCCCCACTGCCCAGGGGCCTGGGGGTGGGGCAGGGCCCCTGCTCTGGCTCATCCTCCATGGACAATGCCACCCAAGCTGCTTTGGGATCAGGGACAAATCATTTAAAGCTCCTGTTTTTACAGAAGACTACTTGCTCCTGCACGTGAGTGTACAAACTGAGTTGGGAGGGATTCAAGTTTTACCTTTTCAAGGAGCTGAAAACAGCATGTGTCTCTGCTCCCCTCTGAAGCCACCAGCACATCTTCCAAAGCACTGCCTTTTCTGACCTCGACACGTACACGAAACCCACAACGTTCACTATCGAGGGAAAAGCACGCAAACAAGACCTGTCTGGTTTCAACTGATGACACTGCAGGACCCAACTCCTCACCCTGCTGGTCCGAGACCCTCTGAGACCACAGCTCTGAACTGAAGGTGGACATGGCTTCTAAGACGCTGGACAGCTCTGGGCGAGCATCTCCTCTGTGGACGGCACCAGAGGCCCACAGCGCTGTATCCGTGAGTCTGGAACTGGAGACACTCCTGAGACATCTAGCTTCCCACATCCAGGAAACAACAACAATGAAGAAGACAAAGAGGTAAGGATGAAAAGAAAACAACGCTCATTCTGAAAACAGGGTGACAACGGCTGGCCACCTGGCAGTCGAGACCCAATGAAAAGCAGGCACCTTTCCCAGGTTAACTAGCAGACTTTCTAGGCGACAATGCCAACTTCAGAGGGAAGGCCAGAACCGGTGTTCTGTTAAGTGAAAATCCGTCACTGAGTTTCCTGCTGTCACTAACAAAATTATGGGCTGTGTGGCCTCAGATTCTCTACTGCAGGAGATGCCTGAAGGGACTAAACCAGCAGGAAGCAACCCTTGCCCTACAGAAGTTGTGAAGTGATCGTGAGGACGGTCCAGGGAGTCCCCCAGGGCTCCCACACCTGCTGTCCCTGGCGCCCCACTGCAGAACACCAGGCCACACACCCCAGCCCGGGTCCTGGCCCGGGGGGGCATGCCACACCTCCTCTAGCACCGCTGCGGACCCACCGCAGTCTCCTCCCTCCTGCTCTCTGTGCTCCGCGGGCCACCAGGCGGGGCATCCAGCCAGCGCACCACTAAACCCGGCCCGCCACGTGGAGCCGGGAGCCGGCCCTCGGAGCCCACCTGGACCCGCCATGAGGCACTCACACAGGGGTCACCCTCTGTGCCCTGTGTCCTTACTGGTCAAACAGGGACGGCTGCGTTTTCCTCAAGGCTCGTGAGAGGAAGAAACAAGATAAGGAACAGGAAAAGCTCTGACCCTCACTGGGTGGTGACAGTCAGCACGTTTCAAGGACTCACTGAAATGAGTGAAACAAGCCTCAGCAGGGCAGGAGACAGTCCCCACCATCCGCGACCACACCGCTGGCAAGCCCCAGGACAATGCCCCTGAACCCAGAGCGTGACCCAAACTTCACTGAGTGCCAGTCGGGTCATGAGCTCCCCGCACGAGAGGGAGCAGCAGTCACCATCCACGCACCTCACACAGAGCCCCCGACCAGCGGCCACGCAGACCAGACAGCCAGTGATGGCCTCCTGCCCCCGAGCGGCCACTGGCTGCCCCGACTCTGCATGCAGGACACGGTGGACGCGCCCCACAGCCTGCCCATGGCCACTGGCCCGGCCCACAGCTTCCAGGACAGGCCGAGGGGCCTGGACCTCAGGGTGCCCTGACCTTCGGCTCTCACTTCCTAACAGAGGGGAGACTTTTCTGAACACCATTTGCTCCTCACATTCAACTTTCTAACTTCCGTGAAGACGTGGTTTTGGAGATGGCGCACCCACTTGCCAGCTGTAAGACAGAGGCTGAAGTCTCTGAGCCTCAGTCTGCTCACTGTGAAGGGGCGAGGCCACCGGCCCTGCCCAGTGGGGCGGAAACACAGGGCTGCCTCTGCCTCTGCCCTGTGAAACCAAACCTCCCCCTAAGCAAAACACCACTTTTATCTGATCACCGATGTTACCATAGCCAAAATATGTATTCATGCTTCTGCAAACAGAAAACATCACAGAGCACCAGTTCAGAAAGCATTTCAATGGATAAACGAACACTTTTCCATTCTAAAACTAAGGCTCACAATCACTAACATTCACTCAGACTGACAGCATGTTCTGAGGCTCCTTTGTCGACCCTGTTCTCAGGCTGACCCCCCACCCAGGGCTGGAGACCACACCTCCCACAGGGCTCCCTCGTCCCACTCCACAGCTCCCGTTACAGCCTCATCATCTTTACATCTGACGCCATTTCATTTGTGAAGTGCACATATCTCCTGAGCTAAAAGAAGTCCAACTTTCCAAAAACGCCAGGCTTCAGACTCCCAGGTAATAATTGTAATTTGAAATAAGACCACACAAGGAGAAGCAAGACGCACAGGCACTGTCCACCTTAAGAAAGAAGCCTCTAAGAAGCACTTCTCCCGTTTGGTCACCTGGGTCCAGAAGCTCCATTCTCTGCACCCTCCTCCCTAGGGTGCCTCCATCACACTAGGAAGGGGAAGTGGAAAGTCCTTTAAGAGGATGGCAATTTCATTAAGAAAAAAACGTTTTCATCTAATGTCATTAATATGACAGAAAACAGCAGGCAGTGCTCATGAAATGTGGCCAGCCAACTTAGCCCAACTACGGTGTAACTCAGCCCAGAAGGACGGCAGAAAACGTCCACCACCACGTTTCTTTTAGAGCTTAATGTATCACATTTCAAAGATATTTCCCCAGACACACGTTTCTGGAGGTTATACTTTATAAACACACAAATTTCCATATTATGTATGTTTCATCAATGAAATCAAGGGAAGGAATCTTCCCTTCCTTCGGAAAATGCTTATGTTTATGACAATGGGTTTGCAAGCAGTTATTTTTTTAAAATCCCTAATAGTTTACGTGAAGGTGCTGGTGGTTCAGCTCTAAGTGAAAAAACAGAAGGAAGGGAGGGAGGGAGAGGAAAGGAAGGGAAGAAAAGCTGGAACTTCAGTGACATCAGGACCCCTAAACAAGGCTGGGGTGAGCACACTGGACAGAACGCCCTGCAGTGAGCAGCCCTTCTCATCCACTGTATGACACCAGCGAATGGGATGTCCATCGCACACAAACCCAGAGCACTCGGAAGTCGACAGCGTCTTCAGCACAGGGACACGTGTGTAAGTCTGCTTCTTCAGTTACCAACCACGTGCCAGACACTACGTAAAGCGCTGGAGATCCAAGGGCAAGATGCTGGCTCTTGTCCTCAAGGAGTGGACAGCATCTAAGCGCTACGCAGAGCTTGACTTGACAGACAGCTGGGGGGTCAGTGGAGACGGCAACCAGCCAGCAGTCTGCGGCTGCCTTCAGGACCCCTGCACACCAGCATCCCTGGGCCCCCACCCCATCTCTTCCCGCCCACACGCAGACCCTCAGCGATCTCATCCAAAGTGGCCTCCTGCACACTTTCACCTCTAGCCCAGGCCTACTCCCCCAGCTCCAGGCCTGCAGACCCAAAGGCTCCCTGGACATCACAAACAGATGTCCAACAGGCAGCTCACAGCCACACACACAAAACCAAACCCCATCAGCTCTCCACCAAGCAGGACCTCTCCAAGTCTCTCCCATCTGAGTTGCTCAGCTCAAGCCATAAACCTTGGCACTATCTCAAACTCCTCCCCATCCACTCCCAGGCCGCACCACTTCCAACCTGTACACAGTCTTGCTGTCTGGACCTTCAAACACATCCAGAACTCAACCTCCTCTGCCCTAGGCCTCCGAGGGTTCATGCCTGGCTTACTGTGGCAGCCTCTTGGCTAACTGGTCTCCCTGCCTCTGCCGCCGTCCCTCTGGAACGCATTCTCAACAGAACAGCCAGACTGAGTCTGCCAAACACCCATCCAGTCACGTTACTCCCCTCAAAACCTCCCCAAGCATCCCTACCTCATTCAGATGTCCTCACGGTGGGCTGACAAGGTACCATGGCTGGGTCCACATCACCCTTCTGCCATTGGCTCTCACCCCTACCCACTACACCCTGGCCACATGGACCTACTTGCTGCTCCTAGCACAGGCCACCTGCCTGGATTCTGAATCTTGGTCAAAACTTACCTTTGTGGTAACACCCTTCCTGGCATCCTGGCTACTCCAACCCCCTCCTGCTTGGCCCACATCACTCCCCCACGAGCCACACCATCGGTGTCACGTCTAGAATGTCAGCGAGGAAATGGCTTTTATCTGTTCTGTTCACTTCTCTACCCCAGGATCTAGAACAATGGCAGACACAAACCTGCACTCAATGGTAAATGTAGTTACTGAATGGATGACTATAACCACCACCAGGAACTACATAACGTTTGGCGAGGAAGGCTTCAGGGGAGGCTGGACCATCAACTGTCCCAGAAAGACGTGCAGCTTCGTGTCAGAAAGAAGACTCCCCACAACACTCTACAAATATCATACACATTTTGACTAGCGTCAGCACAGCCTGCAAATGCAAACACCTTTTCTGCTTTGAAGTGATGATCAGTGTCCCATTAAGGTATCATCATGTGGCTACTCCTAATTTTAATATGTTGGTTTTCATGCTTAGGGTAACATGACCAACATCAAAGTCTGTTTTCCACCTTAACCAAGGCTCTCAAATGAATGGTCTTTGGTACCCAAGCAGTAATTAAAAAAAAAAAGGGTAGGTTGATAATTCTACTCCTTCCCTTGCCCTATGCCTAATACTTTTTCTGTTTCAAATGACTTCACAATACATTCAGTTAACATCGTCTTTTGGGAGCCACGGCTACTGTATTTCTGCCAACTACCTAGCACACTTAAGTGACAAGATGCCATGAATAACTGAAATATTGGCCACACAGGCCTGTATCACAGTTTCCAAACCGAGAGTTCAGTAAATTTGCATTGCAGCTGCCAGGAAAAGGAAAACAAAGCAAAAAACGAAACCATCCAGGATGACAGGTGGAATTACACCACGTGAAAGTCTTTACAGACGGTCGGATACTTAAAAGCAAGTCACTCCCTGCAAGTTATGAAAAACTGAAACTGCTGTTAAAATGAGAGCTTTACTCGGTATAAGAATGCTGTCAAGGATACTGGACACAGATCCAAAATACCGTGCCAGCAAAAACTAAGAAACTGTCCCCTCTGGAGCAGAAGCGTGATGAGAGACCAAAACAGCACGCACACAGACATACATCCGCTCCCGCCCCACCCCCCGCACACTTCGTATCAGGACCCCAGGAGGTTAGATATGATGAGATGCAGTCACAGGAAAAGAAGCCCGGATCATCTATTGGTCACCGAGTTTTCTAAAAAACATGCGTGTGCTCTGAGTGTTGGAGCGTGTTTCTCGCCTCCACCTACAACATAACTTACCAAGAGTTAAAGTTTTCCCCTTCTTAACTCCTAGCGGGGTGAGACAAAAGCTTTCTCCGACCGTGGTTTCAAGGATCAGCTC